GAGCGAAGTGCTCTGTTAGGAAAATACGAAACAATAAGGTGTTTACTGTATGATGGAGCTTGGTTGTTAAGAGCTTTGTATGTTAGGAGTAATATTTTAAATTAAATTCTAAATTTGACAGGGAGCCAGTGGAGAGAAGCTAAAACTGGAGAAATATGATCTCTCCTTCCAACTCTCATTAAAACTCTAGCAGCAGCATTTTGGATTAACTGAAGACTTCTTAAAGAGTTTTTTGGATGCCCAGATAATTAAGAATTACTGTAATCCAGCCTAGATGTGATAAATAACTGATTTTAATGAAACCTTTAAAAATGAATCATTTCATGACCAACTAATACATTTGAGGAGTCAGCTCAATTCAAGATGGCTGCTWCAGCTAGTCACCTTTAGATGACAAAACAAAGGTTACAATGTAGACAGTTTTGCAGACTTCAGGCTCACTTTAGTTGTTCTAGAAGCTAAAGTCATCCACATCACATACTTTAAACATTAACAGATCATGTGGGCTCCTTAGTTAAAACTTTGGCATGCAAGGTGGCAGCAAAACACATCGCTTCGTAGGTTGCTTGCTTAGTTGTTAATGTAGTTTTACAATAAGACCAAAAGTAATCAAAAGGAACTTTCACTGGTTTTATCCTGCCTGATTTTCCTTTATTGTTTTTTTAAGTTCATGCAACAATTTGGTGGTCATACCTTCTTGGTTTTTGTTTAATCATATACACAGTAGATGCCTGCAGAAACAAATCTCCTTGTCACAACTGCCCTTGTGCTTTTCCTGTTTAACAACGTGCCACTCATGCAGAGAGCAACAAGTTACTGAAACAAAAACCTCATGACACTTCCCCCCTCTCCTTCCCCCTGCATGAATCGTAAGGTAAGCATAAGCTAAGTGTCAGCATGCACTTTAAAAATAGTTTAAAATTCTTTGACTAAAATGACCTCAGTCTCTCTTATATTTTCATTGTTTCATGTCATGTTGAAGTTAACAGCCCCACAAACCAGCACKCTGAAATTATCTCCGTTGGTCCAAAAGCACTGAAATGAGCAGATACAGACCAGTTTGTCTTTTTCTTTGTTTATTCATTTGTGGTATTTTGGTCATTTGTAGTTCTTATGAATGTGTTTTTTTAGCTCTTTAGAATTCTAAAACGATGAAAGGAATCATATTTGGTCCATTTATTATCATGCTATTCCAACATCCAAATTTTTTAACCTGCATTTAAGCTGCTGAAATACAAGCTAATTAACTGTTGTCAAAGTTTGCTCTGACACACTCTTTTTTTGAGTGAGAGCAGTATAAAGTGAATTAATGTGTCTTCATCACATTTAATCACTTTTTTAGTGTTTGTGATGCTTTTCCAAGCTTTACTTTAAATAGTGAATCAAATGCATAAATCCTAACTAGGCCGTGCTCCATTGCTGTTGTTGGTGAATGTCACATGCATAGTTAACGTGGCTGGACAGACCATCAGCCACAATCACAGTATTCCTCTGGTGAGGTGAAAGCAAACATTTCAGTTTTTATAACTGTTTCATAAACAGTTTTTATAAGAGTTTGGTCTGAAAATACCCATTAACACACTTGGTAACCTTTAATGATGGTTTTATTTGTTTTATTTTTACAAAAGCATGATACATTTTCTAACTTTATTCAAGCATACAGACTTGAACACA